CACGCAGAAAGGACATCTACCTTCATACACCAGGTTGAAAGGAAATCTACCTACGTACACCAGGCTGAAAGGAAATCTACCTACATACACCAGGTTGAAAGGAAATCTTCCTACATTCATCAGGCTGAAAGGAAATCTACCTACATACACCAGGTTGAAAAGGAACCTACCTACATACACCAGGCTGAAAAGAAATGTACCTGCATACACCAAGCTGAAAGGAAACCTATCTACATACATCAGGCTGAAAGGAAACCTATCTACATACATCAGGCTGAAAAAAAATCTTCCTACATACACCTGGCTGAAAAGAAATCTACCTACATACACCAAGCTGAAAGGAAACCTATCTACATACATCAGTCTGAAAGGAAACCTATCTACATACATCAGGCTGAAACGAAATCTACCTACATACACCAGGCTGAAAGGAAATCTACCTACATACAGAAGTCTGAAAGGAAATCTACATACATACACCAGGCTGAAAAGAAATCTACCTACATACACCTGGCTGAAAAGAAATCTACCTACATACACCAAGCTGAAAGGAAACCTATCTACATACACCAGGCTGAAAGGAAATCTACCTACATACACCAGGCTGAAAAGAAATCTACCTACATGAACCAGGCTGAAAAGAAATCTACCTACATACACCAAGCTGAAAGGAAATCTACCTAAATACACCAGGCTGAAAGGAAATCTACCTACATACACCAAGCTGAAAGGAAATCTACCTAAATACACCAGGCTGAAAGGAAATCTACCTACATACACCGGGCTGAAAAGAAATCTACCTACATACACCAGGCTGAAAGGAACTCTACCTACATGCACCAAGTTGAAACGAAATCTTCCTACATACACCAGGCTGAAAGGAAATCAACCTACATACACCAGGTTGAAAAGGAACCTACCTACATACACCAGTCTGAAGAGAAATCTACCTACATACACCACGCTAAAAGGAAACCTATCTACATACACCAATCTGAAAGGAAACCTATCTATATACACCAAGTTGGAATGAAATCTACCTACATACACCAGGTTGAAAGGAAATCAACCTATATACACCAGGCTGAAAAGAAATCTACATACATACACCAGGTTGAAAGGGAACCTCCCTCCATACGACAAGCTGGAAGGAAATCTACCTACATACACCAAGCTAAAAGGAAATCTACCTACATACACCAGGCTGAAAGGAAATCTACCTACATACACCAGGCTGAAAAGAAATCTACCTACATGCACCAGGCTGAAAGGAAATCTACCTACAAACACCAAGTTGGAAGGGAACCTCCCCCCATACACCAAGCTGAAAAGAAATCTACCTACATACACCACGCAGAAAGGACATCTACCTTCATACACCAGGTTGAAAGGAAATCTACCTACGTACACCAGGCTGAAAGGAAATCTACCTACATACACCGGCCTGAAAAGAAATCTACCTACATACACCAGGCTGAAAGGAACTCTACCTACATACACCAGGTTGAAAGGAAATCTTCCTACATTCATCAGGCTGAAAGGAAATCTACCTACATACACCAGGTTGAAAAGGAACCTACCTACATACACCAGGCTGAAAAGAAATGTACCTGCATACACCAAGCTGAAAGGAAACCTATCTACATACATCAGGCTGAAAGGAAACCTATCTACATACATCAGGCTGAAAAAAAATCTTCCTACATACACCTGGCTGAAAAGAAATCTACCTACATACACCAAGCTGAAAGGAAACCTATCTACATACATCAGTCTGAAAGGAAACATATCTACATACATCAGGCTGAAACGAAATCTACCTACATACACCAGGCTGAAAGGAAATCTACCTACATACACCAGGCTGAAAGGAAATCTACATACATACACCAGGCTGAAAAGAAATCTACCTACATACACCTGGCTGAAAAGAAATCTACCTACATACACCAAGCTGAAAGGAAACCTATCTACATACATCAGGCTGAAAGGAAACCTATCTACATACATCAGGCTGAAAAAAAATCTTCCTACATACACCAGGTTGAAAGGAAATGTACCTACATACACCAGGTTGAAAAGGAACCTACCTACATAAATCAGGGTGAAAAGAAATCTACCTTCATACACCAGGCTGAAAGGAAATCTTCCTACATTCATCAGGCTGAAAGGAAATCTACCTAGATACACCAAGCTGAATGGTAAGCTATCTACATGCACCAGGCTAAAAAAGAAATCTACCTACATACATCAAGTTGAAAAGGAACCTCCCTCCATACACCAAGCTGAAAAGAAATCTACCTACATACACCAAGCTAAAAGGAAATCCACCTACATACACCAGGCTGAAAAGAAATTTACCTACATACCCCAGGCTGAAAAGAAATCTACCTACATGCACCAGGCTGAAAGGAAATCTACCTACATACACCAAGTTGAAAGGGAACCTCCCTCCATATACCAGGCTGAAAGGAAATCTACTACATTCACCAAGCTGAAAAGAAATCTACCTACATGCACCAGGCTGAAAGGAAATCTACCTACATACACCAAGTTGAAAGGGAACCTCCCTCCATATACCAGGCTGAAAGGAAATCTACTACATACACCAAGCTGAAAAGAAATCTACCTATATACACCAGGCTGAAAAGAAATCTACCTACATACACCAGGCTGAAAGGAAATCTTCCTACATACACCAGGCTGAAAGGAAATCTTCCTACATACACCAGGCTGAAAAAGAAATCTACCTACATACACCAAACAGAAAGGAAACCTATCTATATTCACCAGGCTGAAAAGAAATCTACCTACATTAACCAAGTTGAAAGGAACTCTTCCTACATACATCAGGTTGAAAAAGAAATCTACCTACATACACCAATCTGAAATGAAACCTATCTACATACACAAGACTGAAAAGAAATCTACGTACATTCACCAAGTTGAAAGGAAATCTTCCTACATGCATCAGGCTGAAAAGAAATCTACCTACATACACCAGGCTGAAAGGAAATCTACCTTCATGTACCAGGCTGAATGGAAATCCACCTACATACACCAGGTTGAAAAGAAACCTATCTACATACACCAGGCTGAAAGGAAATCTACCTTCATGTACCAGGCTGAATGGAAATCTACCTACACACACCAGGTTGAAAAGAAACCTACCTACATACACCAGGTTGAAAAGAAATCTACCTACATACACCAAGCTGAAAGGAAACCTATCTACATACACCAAGTTGAAATGAAATCTAGCTACATACACCAGGTTGAAAGGAAATCAACCTATATACACCAGGCTGAAAAGAAATCTACCTACATACACCAAGTTGAAAGGGAAACTCCCTCCATACGACAGGCTGGAAGGAAATCTACCTACATACACCAAGCTAAAAGGAAATCTACCTACATACACCAGGCTGAAAGGAAATCTACCTACATACACCAGGCTGAAAAGAAATCTACCTACATGAACCAGGCTGAAAAGAAATCTACCTACATACACCAAGCTAAAAGGAAATCCACCTACATACACCAGGCTGAAAAGAAATTTACCTACATACCCCAGGCTGAAAAGAAATCTACCTACATGCACCAGGCTGAAAGGAAATCTACCTACATACACCAAGTTGAAAGGGAACCTCCCTCCATATACCAGGCTGAAAAAGGAAATCTACTACATTCACCAAGCTGAAAAGAAATCTACCTACATGCACCAGGCTGAAAAGGAAATCTACCTACATACACCAAGTTGAAAGGGAACCTCCCTCCATATACCAGGCTCAAAGGAAATCTACTACATACACCAAGCTGAAAAGAAATCTACCTATATACACCAGGCTGAAAAGAAATCTACCTACATACACCAGGCTGAAAGGAAATCTTCCTACATACACCAGGCTGAAAGGAAATCTTCCTACATACACCAGGCTGACAAGAAACCTACCTACATACACCAGGCTGACAAGAAACCTCCCGCCATGCACCAGGCTGAAAAGAAATCAACCTACATACACCATGTTGAATGGGAACCTACCTACATACAACAGGTTGTGTAGGAACCTCCCTCCATACACCAGGCAAAAAAGAAATCTACCTACATTCACCAGGTTGAAAGGAAACCTCCCTCCGTACTCCAGGTTGAAAGGAAACCTCCCTACATATACCAGGTTGAAAGGGAACCTCCCTCCATGCACCAGGCTGAAAAGAAATCTACCTACATACACCATGTTGAAAGGCAAGAAAATTGTCAAGATGCACCATGTTCCAAAGCCAGAGTATCTACATATACCAGGTTCAAAAAGCAACGTAACTACATACACTATGTTCAAAATCAGCCTAGCTTCATCTACCAGGTACAAAAGCAACGTAACTACATATAGCGATTTTCTAAGCCCGGCGCAAGACCGAATACATGAGGCACCCTGTGAGGATCGAACTCACTACTAAGTCTTAACTGATCTAGCAAGATAACTTTTCTAACCATTACACCACGTCGGCGTACCCATACGTCACTAATTACATATAATGTTCAAAAGCAATGTACCTACATATACCAGATTCAAAAGCTACGTCCTTATATCTTCAAGGTTCAAGGGCAACGTA